GAATTTGCTCTGGGCTTCCTTTTTTTACGATTTTTAATTACTACCTTTTTTAGTTATATTTTTTTATACGGAATAATTTGCAGATAAAACTTTTAAAATGATATTTTGAATTTAAACAGTTATCAGCTAGTTTGTTTTAAAAAGTATAAATAAAACAAAATAATACTCAGTGAAAGCAATCCATTATAGTTGTTTTAAATTGAGGGCCTCATTTACGATTGTAAATATGCTTGATAGTTCATTGCCATTTCGGAGGAAATGTTACCCATAGAAACCCTCTATTCTCACAGGCTACTCTTGAGCCCAGTTCTTCACCAGCCAAATTATTCGCCATTGTTAGAAAGAGATGATAATCACTTGGTGCAAGTTCCCGATTTAAAGATGGATGTAAAAAAACTTAACAACCAAGTTCGATTGCCGACATTATGGATCCAAGTTAAGTGCTTGGTCATAAGGAATAAGCTGATGTTGAACGATTTTTTGCCAATCCCACCAAGCACATAGGGGACTTTCATAGCTGTCAAATCTGGCTTGATGACCATATGCTGACTCACTACCCTTCGATCACGACCATATTCATTTGCCGTTGCTGGCTCACGTATTTTTCATCATCAGTCCCCCTCCGCTACTAGTTTTTATGTCAACCTCTCCCAAGAGATTCCAAAAAGTTTTTTGTGTAGTCTTTTGCTCATGGGCGATCGGAACTGTGCTCGCGTGACGATCAGATTCGACGATTTCTATTATTTTATATACTTTTTTGACAATTGGCTTTCCACAATGAGCAGTATATTTTAGACCACATTCCTGCGACGAAGTCGACGAAACCAAAACTGTTCAGGACTGACATAATCCGGTATCAAAGCCGTAAACTCCATCTGACGTAATTCCAGCGCTGATGCAGATCACTAGATTCAACAATTTCAAAAATATTGGAATAATTACTACAGTATATATATATAGATATATATACATATGTACAAAATAATATTTTTTTTTTGCATTTCATTTTTCAATTTCCTTTTCACAACCCCTAAACAGACGGCATATTGATTGGAGTGTCGCGAAAATTACAAAACTCTGCTAATCACTTTATATCCTCCACATCAGTATGTGCATGCGTTTGTTTTTATTTGGCTGTGTTTAGCGCTGCAAAGGAGTTTTAGCAAATTCGATTTTTACTCCACAGCAAAAACGAGGCAAAGGTCGAGGCGCAGGGAACATGGGCAAAAGGAAATTATAAACGTAAAGCTCAGAAATTTATATATATGTATGCATGTATATGTAAACATCCATACACATACAATTGCCTACATTCATATGGCAATTAGAAACCGAAACGTCAAACCAACACTACCCACAATACCTTGCTGCTGTACAATAGATCGTTACACATGTTGGCAGTTCATTTGGGATTAAACGCTGCAATAAGAACAACAACAACGAAAATATTTCGCAACACTGCAAGTGTAAACTCAATACAGTGAAGTAGGTTCACATAAACAGGTGTGTTTGCATTGCCGAACTGTCATACATGCGCATGTAGGACTATGTGTGCGCACATGTGTGGTTGTATGTGTTTGTTGAACTTCGTTGGCGCAAACCACTTTCGAACAATTACATCGAGTGACATTTTTAATTTATGTCGCCATTACAATGTACTAATAGTGGCTGTAAATTAACGTCAATATGACAATAACAACAACAACAAACATGCATATACATATATACATACATAAGCATATGTACGTCAACGACGTTATAAACATACAGTTATAGAGCATCACAACACAACTTTGAGTGACATCAATGGATAGCACCGAAGTGCTCGAATTCGTTGCATTTGGTTGTTTGGACAAAAATTCATATGGAGATTTTTACACACATACATACACATGTATGTAAGTGTTTTACATGTTGCGGTGTGCAGACGCGCGTATGCATCGACATGCTAAACCGCACACATCACATCAACGTCACTGTCATTAGCATCAAAATTGAAATTTCACATCAATGAAGTAGTCAGTCAAAGTACACATTAGACGGACGGACAATCATTGCACTGATCGGTTAGCGCGCTTGTTGTGTATGTAAATGTGTATATGCGTGTCTGTCTGGAAATGGAGTGCTGCAAACACTTTGCTGTCAAATAATGTTTTTGGTCATTTAATCACTTTCTGGCGGCCAGTAATTTTTGATAAATTTTTACTTTAAGTTAATCAAAAAAATAAAATATTAAAAGCCTTAAACAAAAAAAAAAAAAAAAAAATTGTTTGAAAATAAGTGTAATTGAAAATGTATAACTTTTTGGTATTTCCAAAAAAACTGTATCTCGTGCAATTTATATATATAAAATATCTCCCTATTGTCAAATATCTTCCTTCCACTTTTTTGTTCTTCATCCAATGCTTTATAAAAAGTGTTACAGTGATCGGATTCAGTTAAAATATGCGCCGTTTTGTTCGATGATCTGTTCCCATCTAGACGGCAACTTCATAATACCTTCCTCGTAGAAGCCTTCCTCCTTATTTGCGAAGAATTCGGACAGCCACTTTTCAGTAGACTCTTTTGAGTTCAATTTCACACCATCAAGGGCATTCGCCATGGACAGGAACAGGTGGTAATCACTTGGCGCTACGTCCGGGCTATATAGTGGATGCGATAAAACCTCCCATCCGAGCTCCCGTAGCTTTTGACGAGTCATCAACGAAGTGTGTGGTCTGGCGTTGTCCTGGTGGAACACTACACCCTTCCTGTTGGCCAATTCTGGACGCTTCTGACGAGTCATCAACGAAGTGTGTGGTCTGGCGTTGTCCTGGTGGAACACTACACCCTTCCTGTTGGCCAATTCTGGACGCTTCTGGTCGATCGCCTGCTTCAAGCGGTCCAGTTCTTCGCAGTAGATGGTAGAATTAAGCGTCTGGCCATATGAGAGCAGCTAATAGTGGATTATTCCCTTCCAATCTCACCAAATACACAGCAAAACCTTCCTGGGCGTTAATCCCTGCTTGGCCACTGGTTGGGACGATTCACCGGCCTTCGACCACGATCGTTTTTGCTTGATATTGTCATATGTGATCCAGTTTTCGTCGCCAGTCATCATCCGCTTCAAGAATGGGTCGAGTTCGTTCCGTTTAAGCAGCATATCGCAGGCGTTGATACGATCCAGAAGGTTTTTTTTTGCGTCAAATTATGCGGCACCCAAACTTCAAACTTTTTTTTGTATTCAGCATTCTGCAGATGGTTCAAAATGGTTTGGTGACTAACTCCCATCTCCTGGGCGATGTCACGAGATGCCATATGCCGGTCTAACTCGATGTATTCCATGATTTGATCGGTACATTTTAAAATTTTTAACGGATTTTTTCCTATGCACAGTGTGCACTCATATCCACCGTATGGTTCGTGGCCGCAGTTAGTTTTTTGACTAGCATTGCACTCTACTCAGAGACAAATTACCCAAAAGAACGTTTGTTTAATTACAATTGAATTCCACCTCTTCCTCTTTCCCCTTTATCCTCCTCCTGGTCCTTCGCGTGCGACAAAATCACTCGTGTCCCTTTCAGATTTTATGCTTTTTCCAACTCAATTGTTATATCAACAAAGACCTCGCTAGAAACACAACCCACTACCCAAGCGATTTGGTTGGTTTGTGAATCGGCTTGGCGGCCAAAAACCCCTAAGAGTTGCAGACGAAATTCAAGTAGATGCCGGAAAAGCCATTTGGTGTTGGTCATATTTGTGGTTTTTCGTATGCAACAAATCAATGTGAGTGTTCTGTTATTGTAATTACAAAATATCAGTAGCTGTTGTTGTTATTGTTGTTATATGCACATGCATATACGCGCGTGTGCTTGTGTCTAGCATAAATCGTCTGTGTCTTGAGTTACAATGCGAGGTCCGCCAGTTTCAAATAACCAATCTACCAACCAACTGACCAACGAAACTGTCAGGGGAAAACAACAACAAAGACGGGAACAACAACTAAAACAAAAGCAACAATAGTAACAAACACTAAGTAATTCTGAATGCAATTGCATGTAAATAACTTGAACATACATATCTAAATATACATATATACATATTTGTATATATGTATGTGCATATAATGCCCAAAGGTATATCGAGTTATTTTGGGGATACCAAAACGCTGAAGTCAATTTGCAACACCGCAAACGTAGTTTAGCCATCTACAACACCGAACTGGTATAACAGACCACAACTCGGTATATTCGGTTGGTAGTGAACGATAGCCGTTATGCATGCATGTGTGTACTACATACGTATGTAAATATATATGGAGCTCCCTTAAAACCGAAACGAATAAATGGATTTAGTTACATGCCTCGAGAGTTGCTGGTGTTGAGTGAGGTGGTTGCGGGGGGAAAGAGGTGAAACAATTGAATGCGCTCGAAATTTACACTTGAAATTTGTGCATATGTATGCATGTGTAGTGTCTAAGCGTAAAATTATCGTAGAGTGAGGGTTGCTATAATTGTTACAACTGCTGCTGTTGTTGTAGTTGTGGCTGTTAGCTACAGTCAATTGTGGTCTTGTACTTTATATGCCACATGCGTTATGGACAATTAATTGCGCTTCTGCTGCAATTTTACACTAACAGCAAGGACACTCACACGCCTCATACATACATACATACATACACATTGATAGGAGCGTTGGTTTTTTATTAATAGAATACATTTATGTAGTCCTTTTGTATGCTTGTATCCTTTATGGCAATCAATCTATGCTCGTTTGAGCGCATTTTAACTAGGCACACACACACACACACACACACACACACACACACAACTTTGTAGTTTTAGTTGATATGTATGTACGTCTGTTTTTATGAACGAGTATATATGTCTGTCACTATTGTGTTTTGTTTTGCAATTGTTTGAACGTGTCCATTTTTTATTGCCACTTTTATATCAATTTTTGCTTTGTTACAATTTATGACAATAACAAAATTTCATTTTCATTTCTTTTACTTTCCACAGCTGCAACATGCGCAAAAAATGTGGCCAAAGCCATAGTGTGTGCAAGCGAGTGGTGTGCGACAGTATTGGTTGGAAAATGTTGACCATACTTGTGGGACTCCTCTGCTTTGGTTTATTTCCGACAGTTTTTTCTCTTGATGGACTTCAGGGACAATCGATAAAGGGTAAGTTATGTTTCAATTGTATATTTTCTTTTCATTTCTTTAGCATATGAAAGCTAAGAATTTTGTACTAAAGTGCTTAATTTTTTGTTGTAAAAGCTAGGCTTGAAGGCTTGAAGCTATAATACGAATTGACGCCAAAATGTAGGCAACGTTTAGTAATTGTTTGTGTAAAAAAAAAAACCGTAGTCTACATTTTGGTGTAGTTTTTTTTTAAATCAGAATCAGCTAATAACAACAACAACAAAAATAATTCGCATTTATCAAGAGAAAAGCGAAATAAAATCCTGTAATTAACTTATATTCCACAGGTTGTACATGCCCTTTTGAGCTATGAAAAATAAATAATGTTCTATATTTTCCTGGGCTTCGTATATAAATATTTTATGTATACATATATATAGTTCATACGGTCGTTCCTGATTTCTCATTTTTCTATTTAAGAATTTCGCTATTTTCAAAATTAACATACATACATACGGATGAACGATCGGACATACAGACATGACTAAATCGATTCGTCTCGTTTTTTCCATGAATTTTTCTATATGATGCTCTAGTATATCTCGACAGTTTTGGCCCGTTCCATACAGCCGTTAGTTGAGAAAATTTGAGACAAAATTTTGTAATACACTTGGGTATTTGATTTCACAGTCCCAGTGGTTTCGAAAACTTGATCCAAAGAAATAATAAATAAATAAACTTGAATGAGAAGGTCTGTGTAAATATTTAAAAAGTGAGCAGCTATACGATATTTGCTTACTTAATATTATAATATAATATACACTCTTTCATATCATATTATTTTTCTTGGAAAAAGTAACTAAAGCTTAAGTTTCTGGAGAAGGCAAGAAAAACCTGAAAATGGCTATCCAAAAATGTTTGCAACAAATATTATTATGAGTTTTCTCTTTACGTTTTGAGCTAAATTTACAATTTAATATTACTTAATTTTTTATCTCAAATTTTTTTTTTTTTGTTAAATCTAGCTAAAACCAAAAACTCAAAGTGAAAAAATTAAAAAAATATAATTTTAAATAATAGGGGTATAATCTCAATCCAATATGATTCGCCATCACTGTTACTTTTGCTACATGCGTTCACCAAAAAATTTGGTGCATAATTTTTGGCGTTACATTTCATTTATACAAAGCATATTTGTATCTATGGCAATCAATACAACGCAGAAAGCAAAAAGCGCAGAAAGAAGCGAAAATATATAGTAAAAAGTTAAATAAAAAATATAAAAAAGTGTAAAATGGTTTGTAAAACACTGTTAAATGTGAGTAAAAAATTTTGCACATAAAATGTAGCAGTAAATGTACAATACCAAATTAAACAAACGATTTTTACAACTCAACTCTCGTAAAGTGCAATAAAATAGCAAACTTGGTTTTTTGCAGGAGCGAACTTTTTGCTTAACCAGCAACACAATGAGAATATTCCAAATGCATTTTTTTTTGGCCAAAAATGTTAACTGCATATTTTTGCCACTCACACAATTGAAATGTATGTGCTCAGTTTTTTGTTAGCATAGCAAATATTATATATATTGTATAGGAAAAATGAAAAAAACTTCTTTTAGCGTCTGATTCTCTGCACTCTTTCCGCAGATGCTTTTGGTGAATACTCACTCACGGACATGATCAGCGCTCAATCGCAAGGCATCGAATATGAGGAGGCCGAGGATGGTTTTCCTTCGTATAAATTTTTGCCCACTTCCGATGTTAAAACCTCATATCGCGTCTTACTACCCGAGAAGCTGTATGAATTCGCAATACTCACCACATTTATGCCGAACAGCCCTAAGGGTGGCTATCTCTTCAGTGTGGTCAATCCAATGGATACTGTCGTGCAGTTGGGTCTACATTTATCGCCCGTTAATAAGAATATGTATAATATTTCATTGCTCTACACACAATCGGATCAAAATACCGTTAGCCGCAAATTGGTCAGCTATCAGTTGCCGTATCTAGGCAAGGAGTGGACAACACTTTCATTTCAGGTACTCAGCGATAAGGTGCTCTTCTACTACGACTGCGTGCTGAACGAGACTACGCCAGTGGTTAGGGAACCGCTGGAGTTGGTCTTTGATTCAGCGTCGACTTTATATTTGGCACAAGCAGGTCTCTTATTAACTGGACACTTTGAGGTAAGTGATTTTGGATGCGATTTGATTTAATACTTATTTGTTATATACATATATATTTATTTGTGAAATACAAATATGCCAGTAAATTTTCTTGGGAAAGTACACATTGTTGGTTGTATATATTTACAAAAATGAAAATAATTGAGTTGTGATTTCAGCGTATGGGTACCATTTTTGTGGTTTATGCTGTGAACATCTGTTTTTTTTTTTTTTTGGCAGCAGTAATTGTTCTGTTTTCATGTACCGAGTAATATAATTTTATAAATATTTTCAGTTTTTGCGATAAGCAAATTTTGTTTGGCTTTGAAAAAAGTAATATTTTTATGGTAATTCTATAATGATTTATTCATTTTGTAAAAGGATCAAACTATCAATGCAAGACCTTTTTTAATTTTATATGCCTTAATAGCTGAGTTTACTTTCGGTTGAGTAATTGAAACTAATCGAATTAAAATTAAAAAAAAAAATTAAAAATTTCAATTTTTTTTAATTATTTAATTCTTTTTTTTTAATCTGACAGACCATATTTAAATAAGTTTCAGCTGCTATATATTTTTAAGTAAACAATGTGGTGAATTTCTACATTTGAACCAAGTTTTATTTTCTTTAGTGGTTAAAAAACTATTAAGTCTGATTATTAAGCATTAAACTGTTTAATATCTATAAGATTATTTTACCGATTTTTTAATTAAAAAAAAATTATTTCTGAAATTATTTTTAGTAATTATTTTTATCTTTAGTGAGCCCAGACGCTAAATAATATTTGATATCATTTACAATTTTCTTTAACCCTAAAGAGGTAAATGCCATTACTGTAACCGTTCAAGGCCAGGTTACTCTAAAATTTAAAAAAAACTCGCATTTTTTTGCCTGTTAATTGTTTGAAAATATTCTTAGAAACAATATAGCACTCTTGGAACTAAGAGGTAAGTATGGAAAAGGGGAGAGCGGAGAATGCCAAGCGGTAAATCCTCACGAACCAATATTTTAATCGCCATTTTCTCGAACCAGTTTTTTTCAACCAAAAATATTAATAATTTTTAATTAATATATTTATGCACCTACTTATTTACAAAAACCTTAATTTATATATATTTAACGTGGTTGGGAGAACCTGGCCTTAACCACCAAATTTATCTCCAGAAGGGCCTCCAAAAAAAGATGTCTGGCGATGAGGAAGATATTTGGGCTTCAAATTATCTGAAACAAGAAAAACAAAAACTATTTAGTATTATAATGTATGAATACAGTCAGTGATCGAAAGAACAGGCACAATTTTGATTTTTGACAAAATAATGACTTCAAAAAAAAAAATTTTTTTTTTGTGAGAAATTCTACACATTTAGTGGATTGTATGCCTTCGATCATTAAAGTTGGTTGAACCAATGACACTAAGTACGAAGGCCACGAGACGTCCTTAATGACAAGATTATATCTGCGAGACTTATTGTCGGATCAATCTCAGATTTTCTTAAAATATTCTCAAATATATGTGCACTGGAAAAATTACAAAAAGAAAATAAATATTTTTAAAATTAAATGTGGCCTTAAGAAAAGCGAAGATTTTGAGGATTCTAACTAAAGTAATATTTCAGTTCAAAGACATTTGACTCAATTTGTAGCGAGAAACTGTTTTTATTTGAACAGACTGATCTGACGCTTTATTTGTGTTAACAAAAAATACATACAAAAAAGGTCGCAGACCTCTGAGAGTTCAAAAATTGTTCACTTCTTGAACAACTTTCCATAATCAAAGTACAAATAAAATAATAATCAAACCTTTGAAACCCCTTCCCGTGCAAGCATAAAAGAAAATTTATAACCATGAAATTGTGGTATGCAAGTCAAGAGAAGCTACTTCGCCTACTAAAGCTTTTCACCACTACAACTTCCGCCCAAAAAAGCAAAGTTATTCAAACTTAGCATTCTTAGCGACAAAATTACACGATATGGATTTTTCAGCGTAAGGATAATAAATTTTTTTTTTGCCACGCTACCAAATACTGGGTGAGAAAATGAGCGTGAGGACTAAACAGTGATTGAATAGAAAAGGAATTTCAACATAAGGCACACTGCTTACCACTAGCTGTTTACCACATTCAGGGTAGGTCAAGCGCCATAAGGTATGCAACTGAATTTTGCTACCCTCAACACTTTGCTGACGATAGATGGCGCTATGAGCATTAAGCATAGAGAGAACTGTTATTTTGAGTGACTGCTAGAGTACGTGAGTGAAATTTAGTTATATAAAGCAAGTGAAAGTGCTACGGTGGTGAGCATAAAATTTTCTCAGCATTTCTAAATTCACCAGCTTTTCGCATTCGGACCTAAGACACTCTTTTTGTGGTTGTACCTAGCAATATTCGCTGAACGGCATTTGCGCTGAATGAGAATAATGCACATTCCTCCACATGCTTTTTCTCCGAAATAAATGTAGGTGTATGTGTGTACGCTAGGAGTAAGCGCTCAGTCGCTCATTTCTCTCTTCTGTGTAGAACTTTATGCTCCCAACTTTGGAAGGATACAGCCAGCAGCCGGTTGGCTTATTTGCATTGAGCAAATTTTCACCTTGTTTTTGAAGTTCGTTGCCCACGAATAGCGCACTCGGCTTTCTAGCTTCTGAGTTTGTGTACATGTGTATGTTGTAAACAGCTGTTAATGGTAATTCTATGCTCATGGGCTCTTTGGAACTCGGGTTTTCGACACTTTTGCTGAGCATTCGACTACACGTTTGTATTTGCTGAACTGAGCTTTAAACGGGAGTGCAAAATATGCTCACATTACAGTACTCTTGAGTGTATGTTTTTTGTATGGATGTGAGTTTTTCTAAAAAGTTATGTTCTTCAAGTGCGTTTACCTCAGTCGTGTTAGGTGCTGCAACCGGTTAAGTTGAGCTAGACGGGAGATCGACTATTCGTCGTTTAGTTTTATAGTCGAATAAGGTGTACCGAGTGTGTTTAGGTTCCGATACGCGCTGACTAACGGTAACAAATGAATTCATTGGTTGTTTATTGTGCGAGTAACAAAGATTTTCGAATTTAGTTATTTTTTTGCGCGTGTCTGTGTGTATCGGAGATACGTGTGCACATAATGAGCTAGTGGCAAAAGGTGAATTATACTCCATAAAGTATCTTGTGTGTGCGAGTGAGTGTATTTTGCTTACATACATATAAGCGTACATATGTTTAGCAAACAATTTTTTTTTGCTCCAAAAGCACTTTGATGCTGTCGAAGTGTGCGGCAAGTGGTTAGTGAGAGTTTTTGTTGTTTAAAAAAATAATTATAATAATTGGTGCTTTGTGCTAAAATAAAAGAAGAAAGAAGATTAAAAAAGAAAAATATTTAGACAAAAATGTCTGTTGTTAGATCTGCCACAGCGCTTCCATTCCGTGTGTGGCAGATACATAAGTGCTGTTATTTAGGCATTTAAGTGGATTTTTATTAGCCTCCTCACGCACATACACTTGAGTAGCGCCTATATTGACTGCCCCATACATAAGTACATACATATCTGCTACATAGCGCCTATATTGACTACCCCATACATAAGTACATACATATCTGCTAAAGCGTTATCAGCCAAAAATGATTGACCCCGCGCGTGTGTTTATACACTCATTGAACGCCAACATGTTAACCATATACACGCATGCACATACATGTACTTGAGAAAAAATGCCAAAACGTCATTGAAGAGTTTCAAAAAAAAAATATAATTTTCCGGAAAAAGTTTTAAATTTACGCGAAAAGTTGTGCGTTGCAGCATTTAAGCGTAAACGTTTGTGAAAACCGGTCGATTAAGTAGATAGTACATGCGCACATATATACGTTTATCGCGTGGCATCCTCGCGCGTAGCGAAGTAAAACGTAGAAAATGGTAAAAACGAAGAAATACTAATAAGCCGAAAAAAGCGCATGAAACGAAAAAGTCTTCGCGAACGTGTGCAATTAAGTAATCGAAATGAGTTTAAAAATCATTGCGCTGGAAAATTAACGACAGCACAGACAAATTGGCTGTCAGCCACCTGCGAAGTCACCTGCAAGGCTATACGCGCGCGTCTTGCCAACTCTCCCCTCCCTTTCGCTGCTGTCTTCTTCGGCGGCAAAATTTACTTTGTACAGGCAGCTCGCACTGTGTGGCAATTGAGTCAAAATGTCAAATAATTCACTGTGCAATTATTGACAAAATTATCGCGAACAAAGTGCACATCCCCAGCTACAAGCCGATTTAAGTGAGCTGCTAAGATACATAGTCGACCTGCTTATAGCCAGTGCAGACGACAACTATTAATTATTAATCAAGCACTCATGGCAAGCGCTGATGATGAAAACCAATACAAATCAATAGGACTGCAATTTGCAATTATTTATAAATACCTATGAAATTACACAGTGCATTCTTTCCAACAATTAATTAACAATGAAAAAGGTAAACAAAAGCAAAGAAAAAAATAATGAAAACAAATACAATAAAAACAAAAGTAGCGTAAAAATGCGATACGAAAAGCGAAGCTGCCAAGTTAAATTGCAATAATAAAAGTAATAGTGAAATAATTAAATGATATAAATGTGAAGAAAACAACCAAAAGTTTTAAAATAAATAATAAGCACAAGAGTACCTATGTAAGACATTAAAAATTAATGTTAAATTATGTATTCAAGTGGCAAAGATTTTGCAACAATGTCAACAAAAATTACAAAATCAAAAATTAATAATAATTTCCAAGCACGCAAAAGCCATTGTAATAGCCGCAGCGATCCACATGCAACACATTTTATAAATGTATGTGTGCAAGTTATAGCATACCTGTAATTGTATGCGTGCGTAAATAAATCGTAAGTAAGCGTCAATGAAGCATTGAAGCACATACACAACAAATATGTAACCATACAACGAAAAAGAGCAAGTGAAATGTACTGTAGAAAATGAGATGAAAGGTTAAATAAAGCAAAAAATAAAATAAAATAAAATAAAATAAAATAAAATAAAATAAAATAAAATAAAATAAAATAAAATAAAATAAAATAAAATAAAATAAAATATATGAAATGAAAAAAAAGTAAAATAAGATTAAATTAAATTAATTTTTTTGTAAATATATTTGAAATAAATTAATTTAAGTAAAATAAAATAATAAAGTGAAAAATAACTTGAAATAAAATAAATTTATAATAATTTATAATAAAAATGGAAACTGAATTAGTTTTTTTAACTTAAATTAAATTACATCAAAAGAAAAAGAGAAAAATGAACTGTTTTTGTAATATATAAATGTTTTTAATTAAGTTTAGAGTTATTTAAATTAAATAAATCTGCTCTAAAATACTTCCACGCAACTTTCTGCTCACATTTCAATAGTCCTTGCGAACAATGCATGCCAATGCCGATCTTTTAAAAACGTTCAAACGTTTTTGTTGCCCATAAAAATAGTTAATGTCTGCATGTGCATATGAAGTTGCTGTACAAATTGTATACATTGTCCGCGCGCGCCTGCAAATATTTGCACATATTGGCATGCCCTGCAAATGAGTGAGTGCATGCGTCAAGGCGTATAAGTAACAAAGGCAAAAGAACGCAGTGACTAGTGAGCAAAGGCAAGCAAGTTGTAGACTCGGACATAAATAAATATATTTAAGCATACAAGCAGACATACAAGCGAACATGCATACACGTAAATAAGTACATGTACAATATAAATGTGTTTACACTAATTTTTATTTCTACACATGCGAGTATATTTTGAGTCTTAACAAACGAAAGTGTGGTAGTTGAGCAGCGTAAATAGAGTGACGTAGCGTGGCATGCGTGTGGCGTGTTCGCTACTAATTAAGCGCAATAGTAAATATTATTTCTTTTCAAAAAAAAAAAAATTAAAAATTAAAAAAAAAACAAAAAAATGCAAAAATTGATATAAATAAAAACTGTGGCTAAACAAAGCAAAATATCGTGTTGTTGTGCGGGTAATGTTTTGAAAACGATTTTTTAAGGATACACAATTTTGTTTTGCATGCATAGCTTATAATGCGCCGTGAAATATGCAATCTTAATAAAAACGTACATATTACATTTTTAGAAAGTGTTTACGTTGACGCCTAGAAGTATGCAAACAAATATGTTTTCTGTTGGAAAAATATGCAAAACTCCCAAAGTATGCAACAAAATTTTTTATAGAAAAATATATATGCTCGCATATGCGCCTGAATATATGCAGAAATGTGTGATTAAACACACGGTTAACTATATGTACAGATATGTAGTTCGGTTAATGATATACAATCCATTGTTTGCTATTTGGAATTTTATTTTATTTATTTTGGTTTATTTTTTCCACTTGTAAGCTTTTGATATTATATTTTAATTACTGTGCTAGGAACTCGCTGAAACTTGTTGTATAAAATTAATTAAATTCGCATAAAATTCAAAACAATAATTAGTTAAAGTATGTGAGTCATTGAGTGTGAGTTTTACTAGCAAATACGTAGACTAAAGGGTAGTTGTTATGGGCAATTCAAGGGTGTGTAGAAAGGGGAGTGAGAAAACTTGAAGAAAATAAGTAAACGAACTTGTTTGGAAACTAAACAATTTTCTAAAAATAGCCTGAAGTTAACTTTTCGAGCTTTTAGACTCTTCTAATTTTCCAAATTATTTAGTACTAATACATATATTTCTTTAATTAAATTAAATTGGCTTTGTTTTTAGAAATTTACTATTTTATGCATAAATTTTTGTATTTAAATTATATTTTAATATTATTGGTAATTATAAGAAATAAATATACATTTCGGTAGATATAGTAATAAGATTGAAAATTTTTTTTACAAACAAGTTTTTGCCACTTACGCACAGTTGTAATTGGAAACTGTTTTCAAAGCAAAAAATAAAGTTTTTCACTCATAAATTTTAAACGCAAATTAAGTTTTATGCGTGTTCAAGCGTTACGCCGGATGTTGTTACTAATTAATGTGCATTAGCTTGCTAAAATTAGATTATTTGCAATCGCTCGCGCTATTTAAACAAAATTTTTTATTTAGTTATGTAAAAAACGAATAATAAATTAAAAACTTAACGCAAAATATTTAAATATAATGACACATATACATTTGTGGAAAAGTTCTAACCAAATCACACACACAAAACGCTCAACACAATCAACCGCAATCGCTCAAGTCAAATAAATAACACAGTATGTGCATACACCATCAGCAATATATTCACAAACTGTGCAACCCTTATCAATTTTAACACTTTTTCTTCTCTTGTAACACCTCAGCACTCCTCCAACTGCTCTTAAAATGTTTCTACTATCAATTTGTGAAATCAAAGCTAAGTCTTGTTACGCCACGCGAAAGTAATGCCGCAAGTATGCAGAAGGATGTGTGTATATGCAAAGGAATGCGGGTTCATTTTGTGTTACACTTATCCTCGAATACCCGCACATATGCGCATATGTCGTGTGTAAACACTGAGCGGCGTGCCCGTTGTGCGTGCTCATTGTCACATTTTGTTATGCCAAGATATTTATCTAATTATTTGTTTGACTTTTAAACTTAAGCGCTATTGTTGTATCAGGCAGTGTCAAGTGCTTGGTGTAGTCGACAAAGGATGATTCGTATGCTTGTGGCTTAAATTATTTATGTTTGGAGTAGAGGAAAGAGTGTGTTTTTGCTGACTTATTAGCAGAAAAGAGCTTGTAGTACTTTTTAGATAGGCTGATTTATTTAGAATATGTTTTGTAAAAAAAAGTAGAAAAAAATGAGAAAAAAATGAGAGAAAAAAAAATAAAAAACTGTTTCTCAAGAAGTTTAAAAAGTAGTTAATTGTATTTTTTTCCTAATTAGTTACTAAGTATTATTCATGCAACATAGAACTTCTTCCAAAAAAAAACTATATATTTTGATAATTTCGTCCTCGCTGCATCAACGACTAACCATTATATATATATATAAATAAAAGTATGCCAGTTTTAAATATGTGTTGCATGTGTGTGATACTCTGAAAATGCGAACAACATATTCCCCACAGCGTGTGAATAAACAATGCAGTTTTGACAATTTAATCATATTTGAATTGTCAAAAGCCATCATTGAGAGGCTTAATTGAAGAGCTGCATTGCCACGCACAGATTAAGTATATGCAATAGTAAGAGAGTTACAAAAAGAGACGCAAAACAGTCAAAGGATTAAATGAAGGCAAAATATGTTATTTTAAAAATAATTCAAATTTTTTTTTTAAATAATTCAATTTAAAAAAATACCTTTAAATGAGCAAATATAGATATTAAAAATTTTTAAGTTCAAATATATTTTATAAAAGAGAAAATATTACAACAAATTGTAAATATATCGCTGTAATCGCTCAACTCGTGCACTGTCTACCCTTAGTGTGCATGTATATAAAAAGTGCTGTATTATAAAGCTTAAATAATAATACCTTCATTCCAGTGTATATAAAAGCACTTATGTTTTTGTTATAAATAATATGCTTTGAATTTTAATTAAATCAAATATTTCATATGCATCAGTGCGTGCAATTTAAGCTCAGTACATATACGTAGATACAAACATATTTACATGAACTTTATGTGCTTGCATACCAATCAATTGAGTTGACTTTATGGTAGCTTAAAGGCATACAAGTGCATACATACATATGTATACATACATATAATATAATAAATTAATTAAGAATTTGCAATTTTATAACAAAAATTTCTTACGGCTTGTCGAAATTAATTTGTGTAAACGAAAATTAATATTAAAATATTAAATAGCAGAATTGTGCAGGGGTTTCAGTATTATTGCTGTAGCGCTTGTGCGATGAAGAAACTATATTATGAAATACGAAAGAAAATATTAAAAACTAATTATTTGCAATTTAACTAAATATTATTATTTTGTATTTAAATTTTAATAATTTTTTTCATTAGCATTAGTTCATAATATTGTTATTATATATACGATTTTTTGAATTTGGTTTTTCACACACCTTATGTTTTTTTTTTGGCAAAATAAATGTTCAGTTCTAGATTTGAGTAGCCTATATAATAGTTTTTCAATACTAATAACCTTCAAGTAGTACCCAGTGGTCCTCTTCATTTTATTTTTTTCATATCTTCCTGAAAAGCTTTTTTAATTTTACTACTACTTGGATAGTACATAAAAACTCAATGAATGCATATTAATGCCCTTTCTAAAGCAAAAATATTGCCTATATTTAGGGAGCTGCAGAAAAGACAAGAGTGTTGCCTACATATAGGGTGATTAAAAATAAAAATGTATGTAAATATATCAGAACTATTTATATGCACCCACTAGAAACACGAAAACAGTAATCTAAATTTAGGCAATTGCAATGAAGGAAAACTGCTGCCATCTTTTAGAAAAATAATGAAAAAGTTTTAGCGAATTTAATTCTAGTAAAAGGCAATTAAATAATATTGCCCAAATTTAAAGAAAGACTTTAGAATTTAATTTCCGGAAATTTTTTTTAATTAATAAAAGTAAATTAAACACCAAAAATTAATAGAATTAGTCTTGGTAGTCAATGCATAAATTATAGCCTACATTTAGGGTTGCACAATAAGCTATATAATACACTATTGCTTACAGAGCCTTTACATAAAATGCAGCGAATTCGAAAACGGTCTAAACTGATAAGTAAATTTTAAAAGTTGAATTTTCAAAATTTGAAAGTTTTTTCGTTTGACTTATTAGAAGTGTTTAATAAAATTAAGTATAATTTCTAAGCTAAGCTTACAGCAACGAGCTATAGAAGCATGGATGCATCTTAAATAAAAATTTACAAATAAAAAAAAGAAGATTTAGTTAAATGAAAA